TGAATTATCTGGCAATCTGAGAATTTGCAGATTGTTTGAATTCATTTAATACCTTGATTGCTGACATTAGCCTGCTTTAGATCGATTGTACTCTTTGTTATATATATAATATTTATATTACTAGTGTGTGTTATGTTACTTTATTCATGTACCTTTTAAATTTGCACGCCCTCCTTGGAAATCAGTATTTGCTGAAGGAGTAAGCGTGTCTAAATAAACTTTTATCTTATCTTATCTTATCTTATTGTTTTCCAATGTCAAGTTCTGTTATATTTTGAATAATTTTGAATCTAGAAAGGTTTTGGTAATGTTCTAAAAATTTCTATTCTAAAGTTCAACTATAATACACCATTACGGAATGTATACGACATTTTAGTTATGGAGCCTCGTTTTCAGTATGCGACATTAGTGGACGCCTCAATTCGGATCGAAATGGAGGCTCTTTAGTCAAGGTGATTGTAACATCTAAGTACTAGGTGTATATTTGTGCCATAGAATATATTTAGTATAGCATAACAATATTGTCCTGATTGTTGTCTTCGTGCGTTCCTTCACACCACCCGTCCTATGTCTATATAGTTACATGGTCGTGCCAACAGACTAACTTGAAGGAACACCTCTGAACAATTCCTTAAAATTTTGAAAATTTCTTGAAAAAGTTCCTAACCGTTCCTGTTTCACATCCTCGTACCCAGGATCTTTTTGGGAAAGACCCTGGTATCGGCTGGTCACGTGACTCTACAAAAATTGATTGCCCAAGGGGGAGTGGCAAAGTATCAAATTACTTGCTTCCACAGAAAACGTTAAATTTCAAATACCAGGAGTGGGATTTTACGATATATAGTGCGAAGCGCCCGCTAACTTCTATTTTATACCTCCGTTTGCTTTTAAGGTGGGGGTCTACCTAAACTTGCGATATTCCGGTTGACCACATTTGCAAGCCTATTACTCGCCAAGTTTGTTAGATAGCTATACAAAACTATATATCATTAGAAAGCCTATATAACATAGATTCTAAAAATACTAAGGTCTTTCTCATACCTTTAATATTTATCCTGCCATCTAGTAATTAAACACAGTGTATGTCTCATACAAATCACTGTTAATTGGGAAAAAATACAGCCTTACCATTTTAATGAAATTTTATCACTAAGAGCTATTTGTTGACTACAAAGCAAGTAGACTGTTTTCAGCGATGGAATTTTTTATGCTGCATGTAGTTTTTGCACAACATTGCTGCAAAATTTTGGTTCGATTTTGTTCCAAAAATCCTGGCATATTTCCTCGATAAAATGGCAGCATTACAACATATGCCAAATTCTATCGTTGAAAACACTCATCATGATGAGCTCTATTAACACTGAAAATTTCAGCCAGTTTGGTCAAATTGGTAAAGAATTATCTTTTTTCAAAGGTGAAAAATACCACATTTCGGGAAAACGTCTATAAAGTATAAGTTATCAAATATGAACTACCAACTGTTAAGATATACACTATACTCGATATTTTAGACAATTAAAATTGTGCTGGGCATCCCTCATCATCAATTATCATGTGAAGTCATTTATTTTTCAAGATTTACTTGTTTATAATAAGAATCCTTTTAAATTTTGATTTTTCTACCATTCCGTCCAAATGCTGTTATGTCTTACATCACCATTTGGTTTTCCCGCAGTTTGATGGTTGGTTTAAAAGATGTTCCTGAGTGTTAACAGGACATCCCAATCCAGTTCTCAATTTGTATAGCTACATTTTCCATCATTTTCTTTGCTGAACCCACTTGCTGCTAACAAGGATGTTTGAAGATGCACATGGCAGTGATGGCACTCATTGTGCTTACCAAAGGGGCATGCAGACCAACATTTTAATACCAAAGTTTTTTGTATACAATCAATTGTCAATACCAAATTACATGATTCAATGGTAAAATAAAATTATCTGTAACTGTATTCTTGTCCTATTGCTCCAAGTGGTACATTCGGTAAACATATTCGGCCCAAAATAAGCTCTCAAACTTGGTAGGCCTTGACATGTGATTACAGTCCCTAAAATGCAGCACAAAAACAACCTCATTAATATTAATACCAAGAAGCATTAAAATAATAAAATTAGAACAATGAAGCGAGAAATAATGTATTGATATCTGTACTAAAATTGGGTAGAGAAAATTGATCTCTTGATATAATGTTGTAAATTTGCAATTTTGCAATAATTACTAATTACATTGTATTAAGAATGATTTGCCCCTTTAATACTGCAACATTTCGACTTATAGTAATATAGTAGAATCAATCATTCAATGATAGAAAAATACTTACATCCACAGTTCACCATACACAGCTACTACACACATCAGAACAAACGTTTGAATATCTGTTTATAAGATGCCAAGAATCCAGGCAAATACGATTCGAAGATGACTGTTGACATTGGTATTGAATGCATGAATGTGTTCACGTTTTATCGTCGTCTTTATCGCGCATTTCTTTACCCCAGTGAACAATGTTTCATTTAATGTTTTCTGTGTACCATTGTCCGTTTTTTTAACCAAATGTTAAGAAATATTGACACAAAAGTAATCAATATTTACGAAATATTGAAACACATTTTTCAATTTGCTCTGTTTGAATCAGTTGTTCTCGAAAAAACGCATACACGCGCATAATCTTCATGTAGATCCGCTGCAAAATCATCAAGAGATGAGCCTGCATTATTATTTTATATTAGGGAGGGGAGGGACAACAGTATATTAGCAAAAACATGAAAAATATGAAGGATGCTGCCTTTCGTTACCATGGCAACCAAGCTAAAAATTATAGTGAGGTTGTTTAAAACAGCTCCTGAGAGAACAATTTTTTTAATTCAACCAAATAAATACTTTCACAACATCAATTACATGCCACACTAACTATTTAGCTCAAAAAATGAAAATCGATTTTTTCGAGTGGTTTAGGTAGACCCCCACCTTAAATTACAAAAACACTGTAGAATTTTATCAACAGTCAAGTCAAGAAACAAATAAAATGTATACTTTAAACTTTGAAGTTGGGTATTCTCTTGAAACATATTTTCATATCAAACTGGTCAGTCGTCAACGTTTGCACATATTCACTTTTATCTATTCCGAAAATATGCCATTAGATTTGTTGTTTGAAAACGTTGATACACTTTGTGCAGATTTACTAATAGTACGCGTCTCATTTATAGTGAAGGTTGACACACATCACAATGTAAACATGTAGACACTGCCGAACAGAGCAGCTATGTTCACTTTGAAACTGTCGATGGTTTATCTTTGAAAATACTTTTAATAAAATAGTTCAACAATTTTCAGCCTTAGGGCGTGTATCATCAGGTGGTATATACAATCACGGCTTTATAATTATAGCCTGATATTTTTTGGCCTCCATGCACTAAGTAACGGGGTAGTAGCAATATTTATAACAGTATTTTTCTGATATACAGTACACACTTTATAATATGAGCATAGTCATAGATAATTCCATAAACCACGGAATAAACAACGGCATAAACCACGGCATAAACACTGATATCACACTCTGATATGCATATGCAGTCATATATAGTCATATCTACCAACCACAGATATATTAACACTTACATAGTCAATAGATAGCTTATGATCTACGACGTCGACGTTAGCTAGGACGTCAGGGCTAAGCAGAGGACTGGGACTACATTAGGACGACATCCTCGTCCCAGTCCTCTGCATAGCCCTGACGTCCTAGCTGACGTCGACGTCGTAGATCTTAAGCTATCTATTAGAGTTTGATTCAGTGTTATATTTCACAAAGTACTTCATTAGAGTAAAGTAATTTCATTACAGTAAAGCGAATGTCACAACTAATTAGCTATTTATCAAATTTATCATGGGGACTGCATTCTCTAAATGTCCTATAAAATGTCAAACATATACAGTATTGGTATTTGTAACATACACGGACAAACGATACTTTGACTTATATTTGAGTAGGCTATTGTCGGCTTATCTTACCGTAGATTTGATAACAGGGAGGTATACTTCGATATATTTCTTGAGCATCAAGTTTCAACAGACTCTGGTTTTTCGTACCTCTGAGGATGGTTCTGAAGTTTCAGCAGTCCGAGTAGCAATTTGTTTACAAGCAACATTGTTTGCGATATTTCAGAAATCAAAAGATCTCTATATTTCGTTAGACATCTCAGTATTAAATAAATCCTTGTAGTTTAGGATAGACACCAACAGCTAAATAACAGCTACAGGTCAGTACTGGTGTAGAAATATATTTTCTTGTATAAATGTTTGCGACGTGTTGATTTCTTCGACGAGCTGTATCGGCAAAATTTGTCTATTGCAATCTGATCTATCTTTGCTCAACGACATTCTGCGCACAATGAAATTTGATATTTACTATTGTGTAACATTGATAGTATTCATGACAAATAAAATATACAATTTTGTAAATATTTCCTGCATGATTTCTGGGTTATTTCTTCGCTCACTCCTTGCTCAATGACAAAACGTACTTAGGTACCCACCCTAATTGAAATATTTTGTTATCTCCCAGATTCTGGGAGAGACGTGACCAGCCGATAGCAGGGTAAAGCTGGAAAGTCCCTGCGACGGAGGCCGGTGGAAAGTCCTTGCGACGGAGGTTGCCTGTTTCATTGACCGGTCAAATTTTATATTGTATTTTTGAGCAATCTGATTGGTCAATGAAACAGGCAGTTTGGAACTTTTTAAGGAACTTATCAAATTGTTGAGGAATTGTTCAGAGTAGCCTGCGAGCAGGCTCTCTGGGTGAAAGAGAGCCTGCAAGGATCCCTATGATGATCGCGTGCCGCCTTTCAATTAGGATGTCACAGGTCAATTAATATCAACCAATCAGCGCAGACCGAAAATACACTTAAACCGATAATATTAAAAATAAACCGATAATATTAAAAATGCTAGATGCGCGACCAGGATTCATAATAAAGTTTCAGAAACGTTCTCTGATTGTAAATTTTTATTTAAAACACGAGCTTTCGACTGCCAGTCTGCAGTCTTAGACAGGTAAAGTCACTTTACCTGTCGAAGACTGCAGACTGGCAGTCGAAAGCTCGTGTTTTAAATAAAAATTTACGATCAGAGAACGTTTCAGAAACTTTATAAACCGAAAAACGTTGAACTCCATTTATATTAATTGTATTCTTTCGTTAGTTTCCTATACAGACCACAGAATAAGGACCTATACTATGATACAGACCGCCACTGGGGCATACTAAAAAAGTTAAAACGGCTTGAGATTTTACAGTGTAATATATCAAGTTGTACTTTTTTTTACAATCTGCATGTGTTTCTGTACAGTAAGTTTAAATTGTATATTACCCGCTAACTAATTCAGTTGTTTGGAATTGCTTCATGCTGCAATATATATATATATATATATATATATATATATATATATATATATATATATATATATATATATATATATATATATATATATATATATATATATATATATTGACAAATGCCAGTACTCTGCTCAGCCGACAAGACTTCATATGTAACAAACAGAACGGCTACGTTTGAAGAAGTTTATTAAAAAAAGATATATTAAATACAAAAACTTTTGTATTTAATATATCTTTTTTTAATAAACTTCTTCAAACGTAGCCGTTCTGTTTGTTACATATATATATATATATATATATATATATATATATATATATATATATATATATATATATATATATATATATATATATATATACAGTATAGTAATAATATTACTGCAATAAATATAACTGTAAAAAGTCAACAAGGATGCAAAATACATGACACTTTGATCTCGACAATGCCGCAATTCCGAAGCTTTGCGTTGCTCGGTTTTACGAAAGGGAAGTGTAGTTTATGGAAGCTTGTCAATCACTTCATTTGAATCAGTTATCAACCAATCAGAGCTCTGCGTCCAAATATTGGACGCATGCACGTAAATATCATAGAGATCCTTGCAGGCTCTTTTTCACCCAGACAGCTATGTTCAGAGGAACTCCTCGAAGTTAGAAAATAAACTGGTCAACATTTTTCGGAACTCTCCTATTGGCAGGACTGTAATTAGTTCAGACCGTATCGTCTTGTTGCCAAGTAAATGACATGACGTCATTATATCATTATACATTTGTATTTATATATATCATTAGGGACCGGTCATTAATAATGGGGGGGGGGTTATAAATACCAAATATTGAACATTTTTTAGAGCTGCCCCCGATCGAAAACCTTTATTTTCAAGACGCCCCCACCTTCATCTAGAATACTTAGGACTCCCGGGGCCCCACTCCAACATTTAATTTGTTACATTTTTTTATGTAAAATAGGTAATGGGCCAAATACTGGTGTAAGACATTGTGTGGCCTAAATAATTAGAGGACCAGCATTCAAAATGGTTGTTATTTACTCCGACACCTATGGTGAACTGCATATATGTAATAACTATGGAAAGTGGAAACTACGAATTATAAGAACTAAAAATGATGAAATATTTTGTGGGATACGATAAGGACGAGAGAGATTAAAAATGAGTAGGACAGTATTAAAGAATTAGGGTTGCCCCCTGTCACATATTTTTCAGTTTGAGGCCGCCCCCAATTGAGGCAAAATATTTGAAGCCGCCCCCCGTTTCTTATCCACCGCTGCCACCCCGCCCCCCTTCTGCCTATTATTAATGACCGGTCCCTTATATTATTTTTTTGCCAAACAAATCCGTGTTTTTTATTTCATGCGACAAAATATAATTTTTGTTCACTTTCAGGCAAAATAAACAAAGTCATAACAAAAGGCGCGAAAGTTCCCGCCGTAAACAAATTTACTCATACGTCATTGTTGTATCATTTGATTAGACGAAACATTTTCCCACGGGTAAGAAAAATGTTTCGCCTTTCTAATTTGCTTATATGCATTGCAAAGCGAGTTTTCTCATAAGTTCATCCTATCGGAAAACTCAACATCTATATAACAAGAAAATTACCGTAATCTGTGTTATAACCCCCAGCCCTGGGGCCTACTTTCCCCGGCACCTTTAAGGAAGGGGGTAATTATCGAAACAGGAAGGCTTAAAAGAGTGGGAGGGTTTTTTAAAGAGGGCTCAATACGAGCGATTACGGTAATTTCAGAATATATAAAATTGCCATGTTAAAATGAAGTAATATCCTAAAATGTAATAATATTTTAATTTAACCACATCTTATTACACTATAAATAATCCAACTGTTAATAATTTTTCAGCCAAAAACAACACATAATTACAAATTATCTTAGTTCATTCATGGTTTGCAATCAATCCCTTGACATTTACAAGACAAAAACATGGCTGTTATTTTGGAGGAAAACACGCTCCATTCCAGTCCAAATACAATGGCTGTTACAGTCGTGCCAATAGAAGCGTCCCGAAAAATGTTGATCAGTTCATTTCCTAACTTCGAGGAGTTCCTCTGAACAATTCCTCAAGTTCCTTAAAAAGTTCCTAACTTCCTGTTTCATTGACCAATCAAATTTTGTATTTTATTTTTGAGCAATCTGATTGTTGAGGAATTGTTCAGAGGAACTCCTCGAAGTTTATAGGAAATGAACTGGTCAACATTTTTCGGAATGCTTCTATTGGCACGACTGTAATGAGATTCTTTTGTTAGTTTTCTTCCAACATGGCCGCCATGACATCAATTGCAAACCAAGAATTATAAATGCATCCCTGAATCAA